AAATCATACTTCTAAAATAATCATCCATAGGATATTATTAAAATTTTTTGAATATTTAAAATTTGTAAAGCAGCTAAAGTAATGGTTGGATAATAACAGCTAGATAATAACATTATAGCATCATAAAAAACTTGTAGCATCTCTTTTAAATTACTTATAACTATTCATTCATCTTCAGTAATTCCATACATGATACCAGAGCTAGAACTACAAGCATAAAAAATAATAAAATCATTTATAATTTCTTTATATTCTATTGCTACACTTAATATTGCATAGGTGGAATTCCACCTATGGTCAACATCTTTTGGAATCATTCTGGGTTTTATATTTTTCTTTTACAAAATTGTTTCCATCTTCTAACTCTTTGTTCAGAAACATTATGCATATAAGTTATCATCCTAACATTTTTTATCATGAGTTTAATTTCAATAAATACACTTTGAACAATTAAATTTAAAATATGACAGATACATCTAATATGAAAAGATCATCATGACATGAAAATGACAGAGATTGTTTGTTAAAATCAACAACTACATTATTATTATTACTTGCATTATCTAGTGAAAGAAAAAATATTCTTTTTAAAATTTCTAATTTCAAAAGTTCTTCAATTATTAAATTTACAACATTAATACCACTATGTGACTCTTCAATTGCAATAAAGAAAATAACTCTTTTAAACATTTATTAATTTTTACCAATCCAGTGTGTTGTGATACATAAATAATCAGTTTGTACTTTAGATGTCCAAATATCAGAAGTTAAAAAAAAATTTATAGTTTAAACTTTGAAAATAAGAAATTTTTTTCCTTGTTCCTCCTGATAATGTTTTAAAATATCACGTTGACAAGTTTGGCAAGAATTTTTTTAAATATGGGCTAAAAACCATCTGTAAGTAAATATTCAAATTCATCATCTTTTACTAATTTAAAAGGAAGATTCTTAAGAATGATAAACTCGATGACACATTTCCTAGCATGAGCTGCGTCATAATTCCAACTACCGAGACTACCAGAAGATGAGGATTGTGAGATCGTAGATTGTCGGATATCACCTTGAGGCGTTTAGCCATTGCTGTGTTTATCTAAATGGCGTTTGAGGCGGTTAGTACCGCTCTTATGATGAGCTTAGAAAACCTTACCGCACAATGCACACTTAGCCTTCTGGGTGAGGATCCTACCGTATTCATCATTGGTGACATCTATCTTCTCAAAAAAAATTCACACATCGGATCTCAGCCTTTTAGGAGCTCTTGGTGTAGAATCGTCGCCACCGGATTCAGGATCAATATTGGTAGGATCGGTAGGAGTAGCTGTAGTAGGAGGACTCATTTTGGGAGTTAGGTTTTACTCTTCATAATCATATCCGGAAGCCATTTGATTGAAGAATTAGAGAGGTAAAACAATTATTAGAGAGTATAAGAGAGTATAGGAGTGTATAAGATAGTATAGAGAGAAGTAGATGAGTTTTGAATGAGGAAAACAAATAAAAAACCCCTCTATTTATAAATGCAGCCCCCTAGACAAATGACTAAAATACCCTCATTTTTTTTACCATTTTTGGGGTAAAAACGGTCAAAACGGCCAAAATGACCGTTATGGTTGGCCCGGCCCAGCTAAACGGCTACAAAAACGGACGTTAGTCCGGCCAGCCAGGCCCGATCGGCCGACCCAGCCACAACGGTCAAATATTGACCGTTCTGTGGCATTAACCGGTCACAAAAGTGACCGTTAATGCCGGCGCCAAGCCGGGTTGGCCTGGCCCGGCCCGACATTTGCCCTGTAATGGTCACATTATGTGACCGTTGCATCCAAGCTGGGCAAATATTAAGAGATAAGATGTTCTATAATTACCATGTGAATGTCGCATGCGTTTGCATAAGGAAAGCACTAAAGAGCAAACTTTAAAAACTTTAAGTTACATAACTACTGTAAAAAATAATTGAGGGAATAAGTGCGGGGGGGTGTTATTGGTTAGGACGAGTTGGGGCTAAGTGGGATAATTGTTCTAATAGAATAATTTTATCCCTTTGGGGTATTTTGAGTGGTGTAAAATGGGACAATTTAGGATAATGAAACAATTTAAAGTTTTGATTTGATAATTTATGTGGGATAATTAATAATGTGACACCAATATATTTAAGACTAATTAATATAATAAAGTATAATAGAAAATAGTAAATTATAATATAATATATTATATTGTAATATAATTAATATATTATTAAATTAAATATATATAAGCACTATATTATAATATAATATATCATATTTTAAGTTATTTTATGATATAACACTTTGCTTTATTATATTAATATAATAAAATGAAATAACCCTTTTTTATTTTTGTATTTATTATTAAATAAAATATTAAATTAATATATCATATTTTAAGTTATTTTATGAGGTGGAGATATGTGCTGTTGGTTTTGGTTATTTGTTTATTTAATTATGAGGTACTTTTTTAGATTCGGAGTTATTTGTTTATTTAATTATGTTATAAGGTACATTTTTATAGACAAATTCGCTCTTTCTTTGTCATTTTATGAGGTACATTTTTTAGTTATTTGTTTATTTAATTATGAATATCAATAAATGATGATTTGAGTTTGTGTTTTTATTGTTGTTTGCAAGATAAAGATTCGGATTTTTGAACGTTGTTGTTGGCTTGAACGCTTTGATGCACAAGACTTAAATCTGCTGGGTGAAGAAATGCAAAGATGTACATTAAATGTTTATAAAATTAAATGGCTGAAATATGACAGTAAATGCAAGCTAACATATTACTTTTGGCTGAAATTTAACATAGTTAATGCACTCTAATTTGACATAGTTGATGCTAATTTAACAAATTTAAGTTCTTCCATGAAAATAGCTCATCCTATCTTAGGTAGTCATTTTTTTCTACCATTGTTTTGGACTGTTATGGTTTTTCTACAGATTGGTAGATTGTTCACTCTTTCATTAACAAAAGGAAAAAAATGAATACATAAGGCAAAGATAGAATTAAAAATTTTTCTGCCTATACAAGTGTATTTTTCTTTTCTTTCTATATAATTATATTTTTCTATTTCAGATCTGTTTGTTTCTTTATTTATCTTTACTATTGGTAAGTGATGAACTCAATATAATCTTACTAGAATGTATTTCTCTTATATTATGTTTTGTTATTTTTCTTCAATGGTAATGCATTTCACTTTAATATTTTTGTTCTTTCTTATGTTTATATAGAGAGTATGTGAAAGTTGCATTTTATTTAACTAATTGAGTACTTCTTATGATGTATTCTTATGGTTTGATGATGTTCTTAAATTGCAATCATATATAATTTTCTTACACTGACTTTATTTGATTTAAGTATTACATTGTCTCTTATTTTCGTCAAGTGGATGTCATACACCCCTTATATGATAGGTATTATATTTTCTTTGTTTTTGACATTTCACTTTACCAATTTCTTTGAAAACTTATCAACGGTTTAAATATTGATATGACTCGCACAAAATGTTCAAATATTATTTTCCCATGTTTACATTTTTCCAAACCTTTCATTTTTTAATTTTTTTAAGTTTACCCATTTTTGGTACTTTTTTGACATTTCAGTTTAATTTTGAATTTTTTCTACCTTATAAATAATAAAATAACTCCCCCCCATATTTCTGAATACCGTTATTACACATTTACATTTTTCAAACTATATATGATATTAAACTGATTCAAGTTTTCCAAACTTTTTAATTTTCCAAACTATATATGCAACTTAGGTTGTATCATTTCTGACTACTTATATATTATTACTGTTTTATTTTGCATTCTTTTGCTACATTATTTTTTATATATTAAACAAATCTGTGCATCGCACGGGCCTAAAACTAGTTTATATCATAAAAATACTACAATAATAATTTTATTCTAACTAATAAAAATATATAAATAATATAAAGTGATATTATAATAATATAATATTAATATTTTAATATATAGAATATTATTAACTAATATGTAATAATAATATATAATAATGTTATATTAGATAATATTATATAATATTTTATTATCTTATGTTATAATAGAATTTTATAATATAATATAATAAGATATATTATATATTATAATACAATTAATATATATTAGATTAATAAATTAGTGCATCAAAATTATCTAATTTTCCTCATGATTGCCCCCAAGTTAAGAATGAGGTAATTTTTAGAGGTTGGGATAAAAAGTTTGTATAGAAGTGGGATAATTTTGGAAAAAATTGGAGTAATTGTCCAAATCGCATTGTCTCAATGAATAACACCTTAAAGTGAAATCGCAATCCCATTGTCCTAATGAATAACATCATAAAATAAAGTCCCAAAAATTATTCCACTTACCCTAAAATTACACCAACCAATAACCCTCCTAAGGAGAGGAAACTATAGGGTATTCTCAAAGAATAAGTTCCTATGAGAATTCATTCATGATTGGATGAGTATGATGACATCTTAATCCAATCCATTCAATAACCAAATCTAGATTGACGAACAACCTAGGGTCTTATTCTCGGGTGGCACTACAGGCACACCACCAACCACAACTTGGGGCACACCCCTCTCTCAGCTACAGTGCATGGGGGTCACATGAAATTTTTAAAAAAATTTCATGTGGGCCCTGTGCACTGTAGCTGAGTGAGGGGAGTGTGCCCTAAGGTGTGGTTGGTGGTGTGCCTGTACCATTTCCCCTTATTCTCTCCCACTCTTTGATTAAATAAATAAACATATAATTTGCGAACTAATCAATTCTTGATTACTTTAAACCCGAACGGCCCATGTCTTAATCTCCCTCTTTTTTTTAAAGCGCACGCTTTAGTCTCCGACATCTATCCATCTCCGGCACAACGTACCAACCAATACCAATCAAATAAAAATAATTTGTTCTTATGTCATTGAATATTAAACTGTTCTAGCGGAACAGTGGACCTACTCTGCTTTATTCTTGGGCAGTCACACGCGCTCTGCTCTCTGCTCACTCTCTCTTCTTCCCAAAATCGCCTCTTCCTCTCGCTAAAACCCTATTTCTCTCTCTCTCTCTCTCTCTCTCTCTCTCTCTCTACAGCTCTTGAAGAGGCGGTAGAAACGAAAATATGGGGGGCCCACTTGGGGCGATCATAGGGAGATATCCGAGCAGCGATGGAGACGGGCAAATGGGGGGTGGGATTATAAGGCACAATCGAAAGTGTAGGGATTTGGTTTTTCTTGTTATTTTCGTAGCTTTTTGGGTGGCCATGATTGTGAATTCGAGCTTTGGGTTCAATCAAGGCGACCCATTAAGGTAATCTCTTGCAATCATTTTTTTTATTTTGGAATTTATTGGGATTTTTTTTGGAAGGTTAATCTTGCCCCATGTGACAATGGTAGGGTTTTGTGGGGAAATTATGGTGGCATCTTTTGATTGCATTTTGCAAACGGGTCTTTTCAAAAAAAAAAAAAGCCATTTTTGTTTTTTCTTAAAAACTGGCCTTTTGTAATTTTGGAGCTTTTATTTTTGTTGGAAATGTAGTCATAGGGAAATTTTGTATCCATGCATTTTCATTTTGAAGCGTGCTTAAAGTTGTAATCTTGAAGACTGAAAACCTTAAAACAGTGAATTTTATCGAGTTGTGGAGGTATATTTTCATTTACGTTGAGGAGCCTCACAATCTTGTTGATGATTGCGTTTGTAAGTTCAGCTTGTCTTGTGCTAATTGTTGGAAGAACTTTTTCCGGCAATTGTTTGTGGCTCTAATATTGATTTTCATGCATTTGGGTACCACTTTGCCCTGTCAACATCATCTCATAGTTGTTCCGGTTCATTTGATAATATGCTCTACTAGTATTATAAGCCATTTTGTAGGAAATATCCTCTTTTTTTTTCCAGTAAGAAAATTATCTAGTGTCAATTTGTTAAGTTCCTCAAGAGTTGGTATTCCTTTTTATATTTATTTATTTATTAATTTTTTTGGTGAGATAAAGTTGGTATTCCTTTTGGAAAAGGCTAAATGAGCTACTTCTTATTGATTACAACTGGACTCAAAAGAATAATATACATAACTGAACCTCATGCATTGCATAAAAGATTGTATGGTTTAAACTGCACCACTCATTTATTTAGTTTACAATATCGAATGGTGAATTAAGCTGTTTTTACTTTTGGCATTTGATTAACTAATCCAAGGTGATTGTTTCATTTAGGCTGACATATGGGTTGGACTACAAAGGCAATGTATGTGGAAACAAGCATGGTGACCCAGATCTACGTGAATTGGAGGTTAGATACTGGATGAATCCCAACCAAATCTACCAAAGTGCAGATAAGAGAAGCCAGTTCAAGCTCACCGATGCTAGGAGTATCTGTTTAATGGAATGCCCGACTCCTTCTGAAGATGGTCTAAATTGGGTGTGTGATTATCCCGAAGGAGACATCCACATGTCTGTGGATGATTGGATCGATAGGGACTACGATTATTACGAGTTTCTCACACCGGAGATGAGGAATAACTCTCTTCAGCTGCAAGGCCCTTGTTACCCGGTTATATTTCCTAGTGAAAATGGTAAGAAAAAAATTTAATATGTGATTCCTACAAAACGTAGTGATTGGTCCTGTATGATTTTATATTTCTTCATGGCAAGTGCAAGTTTAACAATTCATGGCTATCAATGGTAATAAATGAATGCATAAGTCGCAATTTCAAATCTAAGCCAAGTTTAGTCAGGTGCTTAGGTTCCTTGAATGGTTGTCTTTAACCTTTGGAATTGCGTATTCATTTTTCTATGCATTGTGAAGTAAATAATGGTTTTGACCTTTTTCTCTTTCTCTGCAGAATTAGTTAAGTTTACACAAAATGAATGGAAATTTCCTGCACGTGCTTATCTCTGTACCATAGGAAATTATAACTGCCTCCAATTTCTTTTTTCAGTCTTTTGGAGCTGTCAATTTATAGCACGTGCATCCAACTCATCTATGCGACACTGGCAACAGATGGGTGGAGTCAGCATTGAGGAGAACATATTAATAGATAAAACTATTCACCAGGCCGTCAACGCTCACTCTGCTGTGTTGAAGGTCCGTGAAGTTTCTCTTTTATAATTTATGTTTGATATGACTTGCGTTTACTTAATCTACTACTTTACTATGTTCAATTTTATATGCAAGGATTGCTAAATCATGCTAGAAATTAACTATATACATCAAACTACTTATATTGTCATAATGTTTACACTGTTCTTTTTATGATATACAGAGGTATATAGCTGATATTGGAAAGGCTTGGCCAGTGTTGATCGTTTGTGGAGGAATAGTTCCGCTCTTTCTGTCAGTGATCTGGCTACTGATGATTCGGTACTTTGTTGCTGCAATGACCTGGATAACTGTGATTGTCTTTGATGTTCTTATAGTATCAGTTACAATGTTTTACTACGCAAAAGGTTAGACGTATATCTGCAATATTCTTAATTCTTCTACATTCAATTAAGTTCTTTTGGCATAATCTTGCATATAATCTGCCATGTTTTTAGCAAGTTTCTAAATGTTTTTTTAATGTTTTTAGCTGGATGGATTGGGAATGATGCTGTTTCAGTTGTCATTGGTGAAAGTGATCCATATTTCAGTACTAGCGGGAGGGTAAGTTCCTATTGTTTAAAGTACTGCTTTATAAATCATTCTTCATTGCTTACCTATTCGCTTTCCAGGAATTAAGTCACCTTCGTGCTGTGGCTGTTCTGATGACAATTGTGATGATTATTGCTATTCTCGCGTCAATAGCCATTACCCGGCGCATCCTTATGGCGACATCAGTTTTAAAGGTGAGCATTATTTTGATAATAATTCTCTGTGCAATTTCTATTCTCTTCTATGATTAGTTGTCAAGCATGAGAAGTGTTCTCTTCCTGAGCATGTGAATTGTCTCCTCAGATGTTAAGCCTTTAGAAGTGAAGCCTATTTTTTAGTGGGGTGTGAAGCCCTTATGTTTGAAAACATTCTTTAGGGCTTGTTTGTTTGCATGGAAGAAGTATCTATGAGGGCATGTTTGGGAACTTGGCTTATACTCCACTTGGATTATAATCCATAAATGAATTGCAAGCTAAGTGGATTATAAGACAAAGTGTTTGGTAAAAGATGAACTGTAAGCCGCTTTTAATAGGAGAGTGTTTTGTAAATGAGTGGATTATGATCCGTTATTGTTGTTAAAATGACCAGGTTGGACATGACTCTAAATTTAAGCATTGAATAGACTTTGGAATTATCTTAACAACTTGACATTTACTTGGTCAAACTATACGGCATATAAGTCACTAAACGATAAGCTGAGTTAGGAGAGCTATTATTTTTGAGCTTATAAGCCAAAATAAGCTGGTTGCCGTTGCCAAACATGTTGCAGTGGCTTATAAGCCACAAAAATGGCTAATAAGCCACTTTGACCAGTTGCCAAACATGCCTTGAAGTAGTTGAAGTAAAGGAAATAGGTGCTATTTTTGCTACTTTTGAACGAAAAAACACGTTTGTTTGTTTGGAAGTATTTCCTCTGTGAAGCCTTTAGGTTTGAAGACTATTCTTTAGGGCTTATTTGTTGCATGGAAATAGTTATAAAGTAGTTGAAATAAAGAAAATAAATGCTATGCTACTTTTGAGCAAAGAAACATGTTTGTTTGGAAGTATTACTTCCTCTACTTTCTACATTGGTGATGTGGCGCCTATGTGTCACATTCATTACCTAAATATTTTTTTATCCCCTTGGGGCTCTGAAACGCTTCGGAATTGAACGAAAATGGGTGGGGTCCACATGTGAAGGGGTGGATGGCGTGAAATCCAAAATTCGCTGGGCTGATGCTATCTCTTCCCGAACCCCTGATTATATTAGTCATTTTTTTTGCACATGACAACTTCTTTAATGAAACAAATCACATTTATGTGGTTTTCTATTTTAACCCACTCTTTTAACTTGGTCTATTTTTGAACCCATGAACTTCTAAATTCCATCGTATACTGAAAATATCCATCGTAATTTTTTTAAAGTCAAAGATTCATATCAATGCACTATACATTATTATAAATCATTATAACTCAATCTGATGTGCTATAATATATGTTAAAATGTTGTACTATTGGTTAAATTATAATAAAGGGAGGTCAGCTCACTATAGTTTATAGAATGTATTAGTTACTTTCTAACAATATTTCAATTGTTACCCAAACAAAAGAAGTGAATGAAGTGGAAGAAGTACTACTTCCATTACTTCCAAATACGTGTGAAAAAAAAGAAAAAGAAAAAATACTTCATAATTTTATGAGTTACTTCTTTGACCTATTTTTTATTTCCAATACTTTTTGACATCCAAACAAGCCCTTAGTAGGGTGTAAAATCATTGTATGTGAAAGCCTATTTATCTATGTTCTCTTTTCTTTTTAGTTCTCCTATATTTAGGTCGGAGCCCTCGCCCCATCCCCCATTAGAGTTTCTCACATCCATTCCGTTAAGTGGGAGAGTGGGAGATTGGTCTAGAGAAAGACATGAGATGAGATTTAGTCCCACGGTGGCAAGAGGGTAAGATGGGTAGATGCACTGTTAAAAATAGCGGTAAATAGCCCCGCAATAGCGGCACTAATAGCGTTAGCGGTTCCTTCCCGCGACGCTATCGCCCGCTACGCTATCGCGCAATAGTGGTGACATACTGTGGAATATGTCTGTTCGCAAAAGCGACCAATAGTGTGTCATAACGGTAAATAGTGAGCGATTACATTCGAAATTTGCTTTTTGACTGCTATTTAAAAGCGGTTTGAGGCTTATTTTTTAAAAATTAAACTCAACCCTTGACCATTGCATTCCATCGTCTCCTGTGATTTTCAGCATACTCCTACCACCTCTCATAGCCTTTGGCACTTACCTTGATACTTTCTCTCGCCTCCTTCACCGTGAGCTCCTCTTAGGACAGTCCTGTCACTGCTAAGCTCTTCTTCTCGAAGACGACGACTTTTTGACTCCTCCAGTTATCTTCGGTATTACGTGATGGTTACATGTCTATTTCATGTTTAGAATCTCTTTAAATCATCCAATATGTACTTTTAGATTTCTTAGATTTTTCTTTAAATTTTTTTTAGTATTTATACATATCTAAATTAGACCGCTATTTGACTTTACGTTTTTTACCGTTATTTTGCCGCAATAGCCCGAAATAGCCTTAGCGATGCCTCACCGCTATGCGACGCTATCCGCTATCGATAACCTTGGGTAGATGGTTAAATATGGACGGATTGTGACTCACCAAAAGTTAATCCATTTGAGTCAATTAGGCCCAGTAGATTAGCCTAGGGTTAATGGGCCTTTTGATTTATCTGTTTTTTTTTGTTACTAATGGCTTAATTATTTACGTAGGTGGCTGCAAAGGTCATTGGTGAAGTTCAGGCACTTATTATTTTTCCTGTTCTGCCATATGCTATCCTTGCAATTTTCTACATGTTCTGGCTTTCCGCAGCCTTGAATCTTTTTAGCTCTGGTCAGATCTTGAAGAATGACTGCAGCGGAAACTGCTGTTCATATGATCTGAAATCGAACAGGGTGAACTGTGATAGTTGCTGTGGTTACAGTATCCATTACACTCCTCATATTGCAATTGCCATTCTTTTTCACTTATTTGGGTGTTTCTGGGCGACACAATTCATCATCGCATGCTCTGCGACTGTGATTGCTGGGTCAGTTGCTTCATATTATTGGGCTCGTGGGGAAATATCTGTAAGTATCTTGTGTCAGAAAGCTATCATAGATATAGACATATTCATATATGCATGCCCTAGCTTGGAATATGCCATTCTGTACTGCAATTTCTCTTGGTTCAACTTAATATACCAAAGCAAGAAAAAAAAGGAAAAAGAAAAATAAGAACAATACTTCAGGATATATGGAAAATGTGTAAGATTTCAATCATCATCTAATTTTATTCCTAATGTGGGTCATTTAATTAGCTGAAATTTTAAGCTTGACTTAGCTGCACTGAATAATTAATCAAAGTTAAGATTGTTGCATGTCTTTAAAACAAGATTCTAAATGGTGCGAGATGGTCAGTTTTTCCATAGTAGAAAAAAACTTTCATCTCTGAAGCATGAGATGGAACAGAGAATAACATCTAAAAGGATTCTCATACTATGGCCTCCTAATCTTTTTTTACGAGTTTTCAACAGATCTTTTTTTGTTTTGGGTTTTTAAATATTAGTTGCTTAAATCTCTCATATTTTGAAATTAGTTCCTCAAATCATTGAAATTGCTATTAGGACCCCCCAATTACTATGTATTTTGAAATTAGTTCCTCTAATCATTTAAATCGCTACGCGGTCCCCCACTTTTAATTTATTTTGAAATTAGTTCTTCTGATCAAGAGTAGAAGTAGCAGTTAGAGGGATTAATTGCAACAACTTATTAGAATTGGGGGACCTTATATTGATTTCAAAGATTTGACAGACTAATTTCAAACTAACTTAAGAACTTGGAGACCTAATTGCAATTTCAATGATTTGGGCAACTAATTTCAAAATATGAAAGGGGGACTATCTTTAAAAAAACCTGTTTTTTTTTTTCCGGGCGGCCTGAATGGATATTTTATCATGCAGGAGGAAATACCATTTCTCCCTGTATTTGCTTCTATGCGGCGTCTCTTGCGCTATAGCCTCGGTTCTGTGGCCCTGGGTTCTCTCGTTGTCTTCCCTGTTGAGACTGTGCGCTTTATTCTTGAGTCACTCAGACGCAGGTTGAAATTTGTTGATACTACATCTTCGAGTCGGTTAGGGAGAGTGACATCTGCATCCTCTCATTGTTGCCTTGGATGCATTGATTGGACAATTAGGTCTGTGAACCGGAATGCATATATCATGGTAAGTTTTAAGTGGTCATCGATGAAATCATATAATAGTTCTGAGGGAAAAATGCTTCCACTCTGTAGACATTTTCAAAAATGTTTCTATAAGTTGACTACTCAAAGTTGAAAAACCTTATCCTTTTTTAAGCTTTGCTCCGCCCCCTTTATGTTGCTTTATTTTTTTAAAATATCAATTATTATCCTTGTCTCCACATCTTCTCTATGTTTATATAATTCATCCACTTTCCATATGAATCTATCAGCTTTAATATGTTTCTACCTACACTTAATGGAAAATTTCCTCCCTAATAATCTATCCACTTTTCGTATGAATTTATCTATTCATATATTTCGATCTTTGTTCTGTAAATCCTATATAGTATTCCACTTTTCATAGTAAACTATCTACTTTTCATAGATGTACTTTTCATATGAATATTTCTGCATCTATTTAACATGTTAGCTTTTCACATGATAGATTATCCTTGGAGAAATTATATATATTCTTCGAGTACAAGTATGGATCAATGAACTCGTGAAAACCAGAGATACTGAACATAACATTTTATTCATCTGACATTCTTTGTTTTTCTCATGTCCATTAGAAATCTTTTTGCAGTCATGTTACTGACATGCGTTATTATTTCCAGATCGCCATCACTGGTAAAGGATTCTGCAAAGCTTCTTCAATTGCGACGGGTCTCATTATGAACAACATTTTGCGTATTGGGAAAGTAAATGTTATTGGAGATATTATCCTCTTTCTCGGCAAGTTCTGCGTCAGCCTTTTCTGTGCCTTGTTTGCATTCCTCATGCTGGACACTCACAAGTACAAATCTTCCCATAACAAGATCTCCTCTCCTCTGTTTCCTGTTCTGGTAAGTTTCTCATAACTCATTTATAACATGGTTATCGCTCTGTCTATCAATATAAGTCATAGACATCATTACTGCCATAGTACTATCAGTCTCTTAAAATTATTTTCACGTCAAAATGGGAAAGGCTATCGAGCACAATTCAGAGTAGAGCCTGGTTGTTGTACAGATAGAGGCTACAAGTTCTGGCATGAGGATCACACAAGTTATTGTTTACTGCAATCTTGATAGAATGTGGGGTTAATTGCAGATACATCCCCGTACTATTGAGGGTCTAGCCTCTTATATCCTAGAACTGTTAATTAGCACACCAGACGATGAGATGTCACATGTGAATCACATGACCGTATTACTTTTTGCCCTCAATTTTAATTCAAGAAAAAGTCTAAACTGCTCTTTGAATTGAGCGCAAAATAGTAAAAGTACTAATAAAATAGTTTAGGGATAGGATATAAGTGGTTTCATCATACTAACAAAAAGTGGTGATCAAGCAACGGTAAAGCACTTGCTTGACCTTGCAGTCAATAGTTAAGAAGCATCTAGAATGCCCTCTGTAGTTCATCTTGCAAATAATAGGAACAATGTTGTTTTCCGGTTATGTAATAACTTCTGTGTGTGTCGAGTATTATGTAGTTGTTAAGTGTTCCCGTAACACCTTTCCGCTATTAAGTTATTCTTATTAGGCTCTGCTGTCAACTCATTAAGTTGAGGAAATCAATATACGTGTACTGTATGATTATTTGTTGCTTTTAGATTCTACAGGTTGACCCTCGGCCTTATAGCTGGGCCATGCTGACATTTTTAGTGAATACACATAGTGTCTGTACGTTAGTATCAGATGTATCTGCATTCATCCTATAACTTATACTCTATATATCTGAACATTAATTTTATGTTTTTCCTCCAGGTATCCTGGGGCTTAGGTTACATTGTCGCAACCCTCTTCTTTGGAGTGGTTGAGATGGCAATCGACACTATCATCCTCTCCTTCTGCCAAGATGCAGAAGAACATCAAGGGACGGCACAGTACGCTCCTCCTCTTCTCATGGAGACACTCGATAGCCAAGGAGAGATGCAGAGACTAACCCAAGGATCATAAGCATGTTATCTTTTACTTTCCTTTTCCCCCCCTGTTGTAGTTTACTATGAAAGCTCATTTTCTTGTTATGCTACTATGATTGTTCTTTGCTCGAATCGTTATTCTTCAGCCCGTGTATCAAAGTCAAAGGTCTCTTTTACTCGAGCATATTTTGCTCGAAAAAAGCTCAATGCTTTCAACTGATTTTTGCAGCTTTGTTTTCTGTTTGGAAGCAAACTTGCGCATGAGCTAAGCAAGAAAGAAGGCGGGAACCTGGATGGATAAGTGTTTTTTTCCCTTTCTTTTTATTTTGGCTCAGTTGATTTTCACAGTAGAAGATTTTTAGTGTCATGAGGGTTATCCCTCCTTCCCTTTATAAATTGGTGGTTCGCCTAAGGTCGCTAATGGCAATTAGTGGGTTATTCTTATTTTTCTTGTGATGGGTGTTTGGTTCACTAGTGGAAAAGAATAGGATTAGGAAAACAATGTTTTTATGGATTCCTTCTCAATCTATAAAAATTTCAAGGATAATTTTTTGTTGTCATATAATGTTTTGAAATCTCATTTTTTTCTTTTTATGTTTGTTTCATAATATGAAAATATAGAATCTAACTTTATAGAAATCCTCAAATTCCTATTTTTTGTTGGTTTAGAATGAGAAATTTTTGGGATAAATGGATGGCAACACAATAGGTAAACTTATCACTCGCTAGGGCTTGGACAAAATATGAATAAGTAAGAAATTAGGGTAATCTTATCTGTTTGTCAAAATTCAAAACCAAAAAAATTATGATTTTAACGATTAGTTCTAAGACCTTAGAGGCTATAAATGTGGTTCGAAGCTCGAAATCAAAATTTATAACAAATTATTAGCATGTAAAGACTAACTAGCATGTAAAAAAATCAAAGTTCGACTGTCAAAGCATCCATGATAAAAAACCATCCATGATCAAATATGAATTAAAAAAATTTGGGTTATTGATTTATACCTCCGACTGCAAAAGCAATGATGCAATTAAGCAGATCAAAATTCGACTGCCAAAGCTCAAAATCAGGGTTGAAAATCGAAGCTTGGGATCAAAGCTCGAAATCGAAGAACGAAGCACAAAATCACCTCAAAATCGAAGCCACAAATCGCAAGAACAAAACCGAAAGCTTAAATGTTGAGATAAAAAATTATAATCAATTCTCAAATTTGGTAATAAAAAATAAGGATCATCAAATCCCTTTGGTGCCATTTGGCAAAGGGTTAAGTGAGGGGCTACAGAGACTTAACCCATTCTTGACCCATCAAACAAAAAAAATCTGTACAAGAATTAAAGTGAGTTAACCCTCCATAATTTGCCAAACATAAAAAATATAGAAGGGTTAAGTTAATCCCTCTAGAGGGATTAAAATGAGTTAACCCATCAAATGAGGGGTTTGCTAATACTCCTATTTAGAAGGATTAAGAGTTAACCCTTCTAATTATAAAGAAAATAGTCAAAATTATTGTTATTCTCAAACACTAAAACTGATCACAAGGGCTAAACTAAAACTTATTTAATGCGTTAATAATTTAGTCCTTCAAAGTATCAAATGGACTAAGTACATTAATCATTCTCTTTAACCTTTCTTCCTTAACCCTTTGGCAAACGAGGCCTTTGTGTTTCGAAGGGCGAATTATAAGATCTACTCGGAATGGACACGGGTAGGTGAGGCGCAAATAGGAAAGAGAAGTGGTAGGAGGAGATTAGCGGGAGAAGGGGAGAACAATTCTAGGACTTTGCTGTGTGGTGGAATCCGTAAAAGAAATAAATCAAAGAGAACTTGGGTTTTTTAATCCAAGATAATACAAAGTGTTAGCTTTTTATCCCAATTTCAGTCAAAGCCCTCCGAATTGGGTTTCTATAAAACCCCCCCTCTTTCTCAACTTTATAGAAACCCTTATCTACAAACTTATTGTGAACCAAACACAGTAATAGGATACCACCGGATTACTTTTTTTACAATAATAACCCTGCCAGATCCAATTCCTATTCCTAATGCTTATATAGGGTGAACCAAACACCTCCTTAGTTGAGATTTGTGGATAAATATTTTCTTTTCGGCTAAATTACCAGATTGATATTTAAAGTGGACCATAATGACTAGATTGGTATTAAAATCACTCCGGCGACAATATGATATTTAAAGTGGTCAGAAGTAACAAATACACCCAAAAGCTCATCGCCGACAACTTTTTTTTGTTGTGGTGTCAAATGAGATGCTGATGTGGCCTAATTAAAGCTAGCGTGGCGATGGTAGTTGAGACCACTCAAACTATTATAGGGCAAGTTAAAATTAGGGCTTCATAATTGGAAAATTGGGTTTCATTTTAAAATTTTCAAATTAGGTTTCTCTTCCAATTAGGGCTGAAATTGTAGGGATCTCCATTGAAATCATGTCTTCTTCAACGTCAAGCTCACATGCTAGCTCAAGGTCAAGCAGCAGTAATGTAAGGAGGCGTCAAGGCATCAATAGTTTGTCAAGTATACAGATGTGGATTGAAGCAGCAAAGAGAGACGGGGGTAAGAATTTGCGGATGTGGAATGAAATGCGAGTATTATGCATCAATGACAAATGAGAACCTAGGGAGGAGGTTTTATCGTTGCCCAAAATTGGTGAGTTTTGCTTGATATATGAAAACTTTAATTTAAATGTCCTCTGGTTTATGCCATCTCCTTTTGCGGATTTTTTTTGTAATGTTTTCAGATTGGTGATTGTGGATTTTGGGAATGGTTTGACAAGCCTCTATGTAGCGTTTCATCTCAATTGCTTCTACTACTAAGAGAAGAAATTAATGGCTTGAGAAGTGCTCTGAATGCGAAGGATGAGGAGATTGAACTTTCGGAGAATAAGCTTAGGGGATACCATCATCAAGTTGCCAAGATTAAAAAAGATCTTGAATTGGCTGAACTTGAAATTGCTCATTGTTTAGAAGAGAATGTCAAAATAAGAAGAGAGAGTTCCAGAATTAGTGTTGAGCTTGTAGACGAGAAGAAGAATTGTAGGAGTTTGATGATGTTAGTGGTTATTAGCTTCTTCATAATTATGTATTTTTGTGAATGATCGCTTGTATTATGTTACATGAGTTGGAGATATTTTATGAGGAATGTAATGTGAAGTGAATGTAATGTTTGCTCATGAATGTAATGTGAAGTGTTTGTTTTATATATTGCTTGTATAATCTATTATGTTGTGCTATGAGAAGTTTAGAACAAATTTCTTTATTTTGTTGTTAATAATATGAGTAAAGTTAAATATTTTGGCACGATGTCTCTTGTTTTATCTCAAGTTGGCTATTGCTGTATATCCACACATAAGCATGATGCATAACAAAGCCTAATTATCCATAAAATAAACACACAGTGCACAATAACGACAATAACTTATATATACGCACAACCATGTTTTTTTTTTGCTGATAAGGGAAACCCAGTCAGTTCCCCCAACTTAAACTCATTTGGAGCCCACCAGTGGCCCTGGTTCGAATTCCTCAGACTTCCTACCTCTGAAAGGAGCTACTCTTGCTACGCACAACCATGTTGCCATAACAAAACATTGTCATTAAACTTCAATTTGAACCCAAAGCTACTTCTTGCCATTAAGTTTCACAAAATAAGCAGATACATCACAAGTATCCTTATGTTAGCCTAAAATAAGCATACACATTCTACTGTTTTCGCCAAATATTACAACCAAAATATATTGTTTGATGAACACCTACAACCATGTAGTTAAATTAGCTACATTTGGTTGTTTGAAGAGTGAGAGGTGCAATTTTGTGACATTGTCAATAATATCAATTGACTATAGCGTGGATCTCTATATGCCATCTCCCAGTGATCCCCTCGCCACACGCCATAGTCTTCTGGAATTCTTATGGCATTTCCCATCCCCTACCAAGTCATCTACCCCGCCCTCTACTTCTCCCCCTCCCTCTTCCTCCACCAATTACATCTCCACCAACTTGAATGTTCTTAGTAGCACCTCTAGATCTACTCCTTCTAGCAATTAGTACTGCTACTAGAGATGGTTCATTATTGATTGTAGCCTCATCACTTGGTCTTCCAACCTATTTTTGCTCCCTTTTGGTCTACCCCTCTTTCTTACTTGAGTTGTTCTATCATCTGCATTAGAAGTTCTGGCATCAGTAGGTCTTTGCTCTTGTGAAACCTGAGATATAATAACACAAAATGAAACAGTTACATCTATGAAAGATTGAGAAAATAGAAAAAAAATATAAACAACTTCACTTCTGTCCTTGGTTGCCTTGGTTGCCTTGGTGGTGCAGACGGACATTAGCTTCTTGTGTGATCACTTGATTTGTAGTGGCTACACATAGGAGAGATGCCTTGCCTTGAAGCTTTATAGGGGTACCTTGGACCTTCACTTGGATCTCTCCTCCTTGCTGTCTTTGGTCTACCTAGCTTCTTCTTCGCAATTTTAGGAGGCACTACCATATCTTCCCCTTCTAAATCCCAAAATCTAGAGCCTTGAACTGGATTAAGCAAGTTTTCATAACAATGGTTATAGTTTTCACTCTTATACCAATGAGATATGTAATCTTCTGGCCTCCTCTACACAAATAGTATAGCACTAAGTGCATGGGCACATGGAATGCCTATTAGCTCCCAAATCTTGCAAGAGAATGTCCTATTGCTAATGTGTTGTGTGAGACACACCCTTATGTATAATTTCAAAGCCACTTCATCATCACGGCCATTCCAATGTAGCTTGCAATTAGGTTGTTCATCATAAGCTTCCTTCATCTGCTTGTGAATTCTAGGAGAAACCCCACCCACAAATTTTCCTAACAATTTTCTTTTTTCTTGCATTCTTTCCATTAAGGCTAGTCTAATGTCCTATAACATAGATATTATTGGTTTATATCCTACAAGAAGAATGAATGAATTGAACGTCTAGGCCATATTGTTATCAACACTATCACATTGGCTATGATATTTGAAATGTGACTTACAAAAAGTGTAGGGATCCATTGCTATGAAGTCTTTGTAGGCATTCAAAAATGCCGAGCTTCAAAATATGAAGAGGGTTGTCAAAAAAATGAACATCGTCCTAATCCGAGACGAGGCTCGTTATTCAGTGAAGATCTACTTCAGGAACGAGAGTCGCCACACAGCGAAGCTCAACATCAAAAGACAAAGTTCATCATTGAACAAAACTAATCTTGAGGTTCAAAGCTCGTCATTGGATACGAGGTTCGAAGCTCACTAGTGAATATGGGGTTCGGAGA